ATGGTTTGAGAGAGGAGTAAAGGAGGCCATCTTTGTGAAAAGAAATCGTCCATCATTAAACAGGGGTGGAGGCCTCCGGGTTCAACTGTCCCCCTCTTACAATGCTGTGATTGCTAGTATCACTCAGCCCTCTGTGAATAGTAAACAGCCATCAGTGTGCTAATGATCCATTGTTAGGCTGATGGTCCTTCTTGAGCATGTGATCAGCTGGTTTTGGTTGTCAGCAGCAAACTGGTTGATCCACTCTGAGAAGGTGCTATTTAAGAGACTGAGCTGAATACAGCTCCTCAGACTGAGGAAGTCTCTCGGATGAGAGACGAAACGTTTCTACATTTTTTTGTTGATTTGCTTTGTTTTGGTTTTTTTTGAATGTCCAGAGGACCAGATTTAACTTTTTTAGATTTTTCTACCTGGATTATTGAGCATGCATCAGGAAACTACCTGTTAGTTTCTTCTAATTTACTGTCTCATTTCATATTGTTGTTGTTTTTCTCCATTATTTTTACTCTTCACTTCAGCCTACAATCTGTCACTACTTCATGAAGATGATGAAGGACAAGGGGCTCCTGAAGCGTTGCTACACACAGGTAAATGGCTTCTTTTATGCAGCCCAATGGGCTCTCCAGTGGTCAGTTTTGGGCCACTTTAGATGTGTAACTGTTCATGTAATCGTACTGAACCATCATAATACAGACGATTCCAGAGGAATACACAGACAGATAATTACATTAGCCAAAGGCATCATTCATCACTCAATCTGTGGAGTGTGTTCACACATTTCCAAAATGTTTTTGCTAACTGGTACAACAAGAGTAAAGAAAGCATCTAGTGTAGGTCATTACTGTACAGTTCTTCTCAAATATGTGAGGAAAAAAATCTACCACTAGTCTTCTACAGACTGTAACTTCTATTACCGGTACTTGAATTAGAGTTGCATTTGAGCCTAAAAACTCCGACCCGACCTGGCACCAGCCCATAGCCATTTTTTCCAAACCCAACCCGAGTTGATCAAATTAACTGTAATTGCAGGCCCGAACTGAAAAAAAAAAAAAAAAACGTCGTTTTTTTTTAAGCTTTTACTGCTTTTGAAAGCAAATCAGTTTGACATAATATTTTTAAAACGTATTTCAAAGAAAGGAAGATGCAAGATTTCTTGTTTCACCAAATGGATATTAACATACAAAACAAATAGCCAAAAAATCAACTCTAAAGACAGGCTATTATACAGATGAACAAAAATATTTTTAGAGCAAAATTATAAAAAAAAAAAATAGATCAAGGTTATTTTAATTGAACGCGCCGCTCGCTTCAGCTTTTGTAGATGCTGCTACTTCCTTCACCGCAGATGACAGCAGGTGTGGAGACGCACGCAGCCGGTGATCGGCTGATTGATCCATCCATCCATTATCTTTACCTGCTTCTTCCTTTTCGGGTAGCGGGGGTCGCTGGTGCCCCATGTCCAGCACTCACTGTGAGAAAGGTGGGTTACGCCCTGGACAGGTCGCAAGTCTATTTCAACCGGCGAGTCAGCAGACGTGCACGGCCGGTGACACGTTGTCCATCTGAGCTTAATGCAACTTTATTTGCCTCTTTCAACCGGCCGGTCGGACCTGCCTCCTCCTCAACAAGTAGATCAACACAATTTTATATTGTGCATTCTTATTTAGTTTCCTTTGTGCTGTATGATTTGTAAAACCACAGAAGCCTGAGACCGGCCTGGCTCGCACATTAATCACATAACGACCCGGACCGGCCCTAATCCGGGTTGATCCGAGCCGAGTTTCGGGTTCGGATTTGAAATGACAGCTCTAACTTGAATATCCATCTGTCCGTCTGTCCATCCATCCTCCCTCCCTCCCACCCTTGGACAGGTCTCCAGTCCATCACAGGGACACATAGAGACAAACAACCATTCACTCTCTCACTCACACCTAGAGACAATTTAAAGGTACCGATCAGCCTAACATGCATGTTTTTGGTCTGTGGGAGGAAACTGGAGTACCTGGAGAAAACCCACGCACGCACAGAGAGAACATGCAAACTCCACCCAGAAAGGCCCCTGGCTGGAATTCAATCCAGCAACCTTCTCGCTGAGAGGCAACAGCTCTACCAACTGCGCTACTGTGCCACCCTCCACTTAAATATCTTGCACCAAACACATTAAGGTTTACTTGCACTCTCAGTCCAGTTCAGAAAAACACTCATCTCTAAAACTACAGACATTCACTATTCAAATCCCTCAGCGTTGGTGCACTGTTGGTTTTCATTGTTTATAGATTTATGGTGTTTTTTGTGGTGTATAAACATTTTTCTGTAAATGTGTGTGTGTTGTGTTTTAATGCTGTTTTGAACCTCTGTCTTTGGCCACGACGTTCCTGTAAACGAGATTTTAAATTTCAAAGGTCTTTAACGTTTCCAGATTAAATAAAGTTCAAACAGGATGCATTATTCATACGAGTCACTGTTACTTGTGCATTCTGCCGTGCGTGTTGTTGCAGAACATTGACACTCTGGAGCGAGAAGCCGGGCTGGAAGGGGACGACCTCATCGAGGCTCACGGAACGTTCCACACGTCACACTGCGTCAGCTCCTTCTGCAGCAAACAGTACTCCCTGGACTGGATGAAAGGTGCGTTTTGTTTTTTGTAAAGATCATTACTCTCTTCTGATTTGAACATTTGAATTTTGTCTCTGTTTTGCAGAACAAATTTTCTCTGATGAAATTCCCAAATGTGAAAAGTGCAGCAGTCTGGTCAAACCAGGTCAGCCTTATAACACTTATTAAAGTCACCACTGCCAGATTTTCTCTCATCATTTCTTTGTTTTCGTCTCCTGGCTCAGATATTGTCTTTTTTGGGGAGAGTCTGCCTTCTCGTGTCTTCTCTACCGTGAAGAAGGTGAGCTCATGGCGGTGGCTTAACGGCACGCATGCATGAAGTAACTGCTTTGCAGAAATAAAGAAAAAACTAAATATCTTTGTTTTCACGTCAGGATTTTCCTCATTGTGACCTGCTCATCATCATGGGGACGTCTCTGCAGGTCCAGCCGTTTGCAAGTTTAATCAGCAGGTAGAGCAAATTCACGCTCCTGTCAGTACATATCCTGCAACATACTGAGACTGCAATAATGCTCAAGTTGCACCAAAATAACCATAACTTTGTCATTTATTAACTCTCGGAAGAACCTATGGTGAAAATTCCACCATGCATTTATTTTTGTCTGTGGTTTTATTTATGTGTTTGTTTTAGCGCTGGCAATGAACCTGATTTATTTTATTTTTTTTTTGATAATTTGATAATCCTTCTATTTTTTTATTTTGTCAGAATATTTTCAAACGCCCCCCCAACCTCACAGTAACTTTACTGCCGTCTAGTGTTACTCAGGGGGAAAAAATATAGAGACGTCATTATAAAAGCATTTTTTGATCCCATATTTATTACATCATAAAATAATGCATTCCTCTCAGTAATGTTTTTTTTTTTTTACCTCTGTCCCAAAACGTTTGATTTTTAAATCAGCCCACTAGGAGGTGCTCTGTGTTTTTATTTGAGAGCTTCTCAGAGGATGTTTCACTCACGACTCTCGTTACTTCCCCAAAGCAGGACATAAATAGCGGGTGCACAGGGCTGCAGCTGCTCGGGAACATGTTCTGGGCATAAAAGTAAAAAAAAACAAGCAGAAACTGGTGTCGCGCACGACTAGGGTTTTAGAAAAAATATTACAAAGTAATAATTTATAAAAGTAAGTGGGATTGGTGGCGCAGAGGTTAGAGAAGGTGGGCCTGTGATTAGAAGGTCGCCGGATCAACTCCAGTATCGACAACATCAAAATGTGGGTGGGATAGGTGAAGCACTCACACCTGCCACCACCCTCATTTGCCTCACTCTGTGCCCTTGACCAAGGCCCTTAACCCCCACCATCTGCTTCCTCGGGCACATTAGATAGCAGCTCTCTGCTCCACACAGAGGACTGTGGTAGCTCAGTGGTTGCGTCAGGAAGGACATCCGGTGTAAAAACAACTGCCAAGTCTTTGTGCAACTTAGTTTGCTGTAGCGACCCCTGAAGGAGAGAGCAGCGAGGGAAAAAAATATTATTATTATAAAAATAAAAGAAATATTAAAATAACGTCCATGTTCGACCATTGAACGACACGAGTAAGTCTGACTGAGGCCTCCGTTTCGGCTGCCAGATCTGAAGGGTCCGGTGGGCCAGAGGGTCTTGACAAAACTGCACTGGAATTTTTTCTAAAATTGTCAAATCATCATTTAGGGTGTACTAACTGGGGAAAAGGCATTTATTTAACAAAAAAAGGCTTAAAATAAATATTTTTATCAATTTTTAAAAACCTAAATGTGGAGTTATTTTTAAACAAAAGACCCTTAAAGAGTTCCATCCATCGTCTTGACCTGCTTCTACGTTTTCGGGTCGCGGGGGTCACTGGTGACCACATCCAGCAATCACTGAGCGAGAGGCCAGGGACACCCTGGACAGGTCTCCAGTCCATCATGGAGACACCTGGACAGGTCTCCAGTCCATCACAGGGACACCTGGACAGGTTTCCAGTCCATCACAGGGACACCTGGACAGGTCTCCAGTCCATCACAGAGACACCTGGACAGGTCTCCAGTCCATCA